GCCACCGCCGAATCTGCACGGAAGCCGTTAGCTGCCGGCCGGGCGGGCTTTCTCCATTGTCGGCGCCCGGCGGCCGACTCGCAACGGCCGACGGTGTTGACTGTTGCACTGGCGGGTCGCTGGCTGACCTGGATGCGTCGCGCTGATCGAGGCGCTGGCAAGGAGGGCGCCCCGGATGCGCTACGACTGCCAGCGGATGGCACAGAATGCGACGGTGCGACACCAATGGCGGCGCGGTGGGCGGGCCTGGACGTGCCAGCACACCTGGCATCGAACTGCGGTACATGGGCGTCGACAGTCCGCAAGGCGAAGGCTCGAGGTGTATCCAGGCGTCCCGAAGCGCACGCCGTATGCCAATGTTTGACCCGCGGTTGCCGAGCCCCAGATCCGCAGAAGTGACCCTCGCGGCACCCACAGACGCCCAGATGTGTGTGTGGGCCCGGCTCGCCGGCCGCCTTCGGTCAGGCGTCGAGGGCGGACTGTGCCACGCGCAGACTGCGGAGGAGGACGGGACCGCCCTTCCGCCAGGGCGTTGTCTGCTTCGGACGGTGGCGTGCGTACCCGCCCCTGGCTGCAGGCCCGCGCAGCTGGGTCCGATGCTCCGATGACGCCTCCCAGGTCACGTGACGGCGCGCGGTTTGCTCTCCGGTGCCGCCGGACCGCTACGCAGCCGCCGCCGCGCCGACCCAGCTGAATCGTGTTGACCGCCGACAACCGGTTTCATGAGCACGAGCAGCGCTGGCTGAACTGTTGACCTCTCGCAGCCGCAGCGGTCGCTAGATGGCGCAGCGGCTGGCGCCCCTGCAGCCGCGGACCGCGGCTGGTACGAGCGCCGGCCGCGCCGCCGGACGGACTTCAGCGGGGCTAGGCTTGAGCTACGTCTGATCTGAGCTGTGTCTGACCTGAGCTGAGTCTGACCTGAGCTGGGTCTAACCTAGGCTGGGTCTGACCTAAGCTGGGTCTGACTTGAGCCGAGTCTGACCTTTGCTGAGTCTGACCTTTGCTGAGTCTGACCTGAGCTGGGTCTGATCTAAGCTGGGTCTGACCGGAGCTGTGTCTGACCTGAATTGAGTCTGACCTGAGCTGAGTCTGACCTGAGCTGGGTCTGACCTGAGCTGGGTCTGACCTGAGCGTCAGATGACGGCAGCAGCTGGACGGTAGCAGTTCGCTCCAGCGGAGCCGGAAGTTTCCAGTCACGTCGGCTTTTTGCGGGGTTCGCGTGATTGGCCGCGATTTCGCACGCTCGCTCTCCTTTCGGCGGCGATTTTGCGGTGCGAGAGGCGAGGAGTCCCTCGTGGGGGATTTCACTTGCTCGCTATGACGGGGCTCGTCTCTCCAGACGGCGCCGTTTGGCCGGCCGCTTGTCGGCCTTGATCGCCGACGCTAATTGTCCCGGAGAGCCATCCCCTGAGAGGACGTGATCTCCGCGCGATCTTTTGTATCTTCAAGGTCAGAGCCTGCAGCGAACGGAGCCATTGATGCGCAGCAACAGGCCTCAGGCCGCTGCTGGAGCTCCTGAGGCGTTTGCTGGACGTGGCGGCGGCTGGTCACGTGTGACGGCCCCGCCACACGTCGGCGGCCGTCCGGCACGAGACGACATCTCCCCTGAGTGACGAGCGGCCTTTCCCCCCGGCCGGTGTGACGGTACGCTGCCCGGCGGGTTCGTGAGCTCGTGCTCCGCCCCGGTCCGGCTGGCCACGGATCTAGAGCGCCGGGAGGCCGGCGAGAGCGGCGCGGAGCTGGCCTGGCTGGACCGGCCGGCCCGCCAGGCCGTGTCACAGGCAGGCTCGCGCAGGAAGGTCACGTGATGGGAGAAGCCAAGTGACCCGCTCGGACGGGCTCACGAGCGAAGCTACGCATCAGAAGATCAGTGATCAGTGCCGAGTAGGATATGACTCCAACGCACAAGGACGCACATCCCGATCGAAGAGGAGGTTGATCCCGACAGCAGAACAGAGGGTCTGTGCATAGGGTCCGCCGGCTGGTCATTAAGGCCGATCGTTGGCCCCAAATGATGTTGGCCCAAATGATGTTGGCCCCAAATGACGGCGCCCTGAGCACCGGTGTTGGCCCGTGTTGGGCCCGCCCTCGGCGCACATGCCACCGGCTTGTGGGGACGGAGAAGGTGCAGTTCTTGCTGACCTGACGAACCGATGGCATTTCTGGTAGCGCAGGAAACATCTGCTAACATTCGTTTGTAGCAGTTTGGAATTGGCTAGCACTTGCGTGAGATTTTGTCCCTCTGGTACCCCCACAACGCGCCTGGCATATTGAGACGTATTGTATTTTATCCAGGAATCGATGCGTCTACCCTCCGATCAGTGCCCGTCGCTGCTGGTCCGCCGCCAGGGGGCGCGATCTCGTTTGTGACGGCCGGCCCGACAGCCCCGTGTTGCGGCTGCTGGGGTTGGGAGGAGCCTGCCTGTCTCCTCCTGGCTGCGCTCCTCCGCTCGGCGCCGTCTCCACACAAAGTCGGCTTTGTGCAGGCGCGGCGGCGCGGTCGGGACCGGCGGCGGGCGAGCCGTCACCGACGCGCCCCGTCCCACCCCCGTCAGCGGGCGCCGCGCGCCGGCGGCTGCCGACCTCAGTCGTGTCGCCTGCGCTGACGTCAGCGGCGTCGGACGTGCTGACGCCAGCTGTCGCGGCCGCTGACGGAGGGCGTCCTTGTCGAGTGCCCCCGGGCTTAGGTCCGGCGACCTCCACGCGGCTGCCAATCGGTCGCCGCGGGTATGGGTGTCGTCAACGGGCGACTCTAAGACGTCATCAGCGCGCAGCCTCGTACAGATAGACATCTACCAAGTGAAACCACTGACTTATGACATAGGTGAACGGACAGCTCATTAGCGATTCAACCCGAATCAGCTTAAAATGCATGGACTGAAAGCTGCAAAAAGCCGTCTCGCTGGTCGGCCGGGGCCGGTCTCGCGTCCCTGGCCGCCGCCTGATAGCCATACGCTGCGGTCGGACTGGTGCGGCCCGCAGCCGCTCTCTGCAGACGGCCGGGCTCAGCACAGGTGTGTGCGGTCTCGCCGCGCCGCCGCTCGGGCTGCCGCTGACAGGCGAGGTGGCGGCATGACGTCGGCCTCCGGGGCCACCTGTATCTGCGGCTGTCACCACCGCCGCTCGGCTGGTGTTCACGCCCGTACAGAGCCTGTCGTCGTCGCTCCTCGGGGAAGGGTATCGGCGGCTCCCGCCGGGTACTGTTGACGTGGCGCCGCTGGGCAGTGCCGTCTGGCGCCTGGCCGGCCGGTCGCCGGCGCCGCCTGCGGTCACGTGACCTGCGGTCGTCCCCGGGGAGGGTGCCGGCCGACGCCGGTCGGCCAGGGCGCCTCTCGCTGCCGACCGGCCGCGGTCTGGCCGGTCGCGGTGTACCGTTACTCCGGGGAGCGCTGCGGCGGACGGTGGCGGCCGCTGGGCCAGTTCACGGTCACCTCCACGGCTCGTGGTGACGCAGCTGCAGACGGGAGATCGGTACGAGGCGCCTGAACAGCCGGCCTGCAGGGGGCGCGACGCTCCCTGGTGGCTGACGACTTGCCGGCGACTGCGACCAGGGTTCCCCAGCTGTGATGCGTGCGGTGCTGACACCGCCAGGGGTAGGGTCAGCGTCTTCCTGATCTGTCGATGAGGACCAGGACACCGTGTTGGCGTACTCGGATTTTCACAATGGCATGTCCTTGTGACCTCGTAGTCCAGCACACTGGCACGATGGGAACAAACTTGGCGCGGCTCCCACGGATGGGCTGCGTGGACGCCTCTCCTCGCCTACCTGCCTGGTCCGCTGCAGTCCCCGTTTGCCGGTTCGTCACGGCGGCGAAGGTCTCAGGATACTGGCGATATTTCCTCTAACAACGGGCGGCTGGCACACCGGTTTCCTGCACTCCGGCCCCTGGGCTGTGCGCAGCCGTGCGTCCTGGGTCTCGCTCCTGCGCGGCGGCCAGGGGAGAAGAACGCTCTGAAATAGTGGAGAGGAAGTGACTTTGTGCGTTAACTGTCTTTAGTCCTTTATCCATTTTGTTATGCAACGTCGTCTCCCAAATCTGGTGAGGGGGGGGGGGGGTTGGCAGCCGCCCCCGTTCCGGCACTCCTACCTGCGCGGCTCGGGTCGTCAGCTGACGGGCGCCGCAGCGCGCCGGCGGCCCGTCAGCGTGCCGACACCTGTCGGCGACGGAGTCAGGGCAGAACGGGCAGGTGCACCTCCCCCCCTCCCTTCGGGCTTTCGAGAGCTCGGCCGGGCCGGATGGCGCGCGCCGCAGACGCAGCGTCGCGCAGGAGGGGAGGTCACGGTTACTGCCGCCGCCGTGTCCGGCGCTCCACACGCTTGGGAACTCCACCCTAGGCGTCTGGTTTTTGGGGTTCTTGTTGCCACACTTGACTGGGATGTTCACGGCGAACGTGATTCAGTGAAGACATTAGCATGACTTGTGAGATGTTGGGTCGTGAAAGAGAATGTTGGGTGCCCAGCCATCGGATACAAAGTCACGATATTTGATACGCTATTGCTCTCTAAGTGGTACTTGACGTACAAACATTTTTTGAGAAAGCAGTTGCCTGGCGTAATAAAATAGCTGCGCCCGTATAAGAAAACCGCGTATTCACTTGTGAGCTAGCGCCTCAATTCTCCTTGCCAAATGATTTAGACTTAGACAGCGGATTTACGCTTCTATTAAAGTAATTGTCGCATGTAGCGACTCGTTTCGGAGCACGAGGCGCTGTCCGGCGGCGCGCATGGCTTGTGTGCGGACCGGAGGCCGCTCTCTCCGGCTGGTCCGGCTCCGGGCTGCAGTCTCTGCTGCACCGTGAGAGCTGAGAACGTCTAATTACCCGCCTTTACGGCCGGCTCATGGCCGCCGGCTCAAAACAGCGCCGCTCGACGACAGGGCTGGGTGGGACGGCGACGGGGCCGCGTCCGCCCGCCCCCGGGTGAAAGGTCCCCAGCGCACCGCTCCGACGCCGACGGCCGCCCCAGGGGTCGCTGCACCACGTGACCTCTGCCGCCGCAGCGCCGGCGGCGTATTGCAGTGTCACGTGACCGTGAGCAGGCCGGCCGGCGGGCCCGCGGGAGACGGCACTGTCCGGCCGACGGCGAACGTCACGGTCCGGCCAGCGCTCGCGGACGACGGTGGGGAGACCGCTGACGCTTGTGGGCCGCAGCGCTGTGAACGGCTCGCCCGGGCAAGATGCTGGCCTGCTTTGGGAAGAGCAAGAAGCAGAAGAAGTACAAGAGCCTGCCGAAGCAGGACCGCTGGATCGAGGAGCAGACGCTTCTCTTCAGTGTCGCCGACCCGAAAAGTAGGTTTGGTCATGGTGGATGGTGTAGAGCTCGTTATGAGAGTGGATGTGGGAGGAAGGGAACATTTTTAGGCAACAGCGACATCCGCTCCACCCGTGGTCGTCAGGAAACGCCTGTGCGCGCGGCGGACCCCAGCCTGTATGTAATTGTGGCCGGCGGACAGCGAATCCTTTGAGTCTGTGATTACTGCTGCAGACCAGACAGCTGGTGTTTGGCGGGGTGACCCTGCACCCCACCTAATGTATTCCGACGGACTTCTGCGAATTACGGCGGAAACTCCCAACGGCCGTCTCGTGCAGTCCGCGGACGTATGCGGTGCAGACCGTGTGATTACGTTCGTGAGGGCGAGCAAGCACGATGCCGCGTGCAAATTCACTGCTTCCGAGTAATTATGCAATTGAAAAGCGGCTGTCGGGTTCCATGTGCTCACGACATGCGTTGGCTGGCCTGTGTGTGCTCGCCCCTATCTGAGTCGGAACAGAACGGTCAGAAGTCATTGCAGTTAAGGATGACGGCACGTGATGAATGTATGGGATCGTAAAACCAGAAAACGCGCTGTAACAGTGTTAAGGCGATAGTGACCGCGCCATCAAGTTAAAAGGAACGGGTCTCACGATTAAGGCCGACCGAGTGTTGGCGCCAGCTGCCCCGGCCCCGTCCATGCCGCCGTTCCGCTGTAGCGTTCCCAGCCGTCACGACACGCCACGCCCACGACGACCGCGGCCGGAGCGGGGCCGCGGACCGCGGCGAACCGCGCCAGGAGCCCGGCGGTCCCCGGGCCCCGACCATTTCCGGCGCATGTGGGGTGGACTCCGGCTGCGGGTCGAACTGTCTGCGAGTCGAACTGTCTGCGGGTCGAACTGTCTGCGAGTCGAACCGTTTGCGAGTCGAACTGTCTGTGAGTTGAACTGTGCGAGTCGAACTGTCTGCGAGTCGAACTGTCTGCGACTCTGACTGTCGAACAAGACTGCGTGTCGACTGTATCCGCTGTCCGTGTCCGCGACGAACGGTGGGTCATCGTTGTCCCCTGGTCAGGGGTGTTTTCTGACGAGTCGCGCGGGGTTGTTCGGAAGGTGGTACGTCACCAGGGCCTCCGAGTCTCTCCCACGTGTAGCGCTGGGAGGGGTGGACCCTGTTGTGTCCCCTGTGCCGCTGCTTGTAGGGGGAGGTTTCTGGGACTGACCCCCGTGCAAGACAAGCCCGCACTCAGACCCCAGAGGACAGGACAGAGATCGGGTCACGTGCGACCTTCGCGCGGCACTTGCGGGCTTCCCTCGGCGGTGGGAACCAGGTGGGGCGCGGCCCGCTGCCAGGAGCTTGATCTATTCGAACGCTGAAGCTCCTCAAGCGCTGGCATCGCGGGGTTTGCCAGCGACGCGGGTAAAATCGCTCGGCGGCACAGCGACTGCCAGGGGGTTGCACTCCGGGGTCTGGGCGACAGGTCTGTCTCCAGGCCCGCACTGCGTCGTGCATCACGTCTTGGTCATGCCTGACATGCTCGGGTGATAGTCCCTCTCATGCCTCTCATGCCAGGCCCATGGCCGGGATGCGGGCGCCATGTGAACGGCTGTCGCAGAATGCCTCGAGAGGCTTCACAAAGACCCGCCTTGTCAGGCGTCGCATTCCTCTCAAGAAGCCATGGAACGGTCTCCTTACTTAGAGCTGGACAGCGGCGCCGCCGCGCGGAACGCATGGCAGCTAAACGCTCTCTTCAAAACGCGCAGCTGCGTGACACACGACATTTAAGCCTCCTCAGCGCGCCAGCTGTGCTTGCTATGATGAATGAAACGAGCTGGTGATTCCGGTATTCAGAAGTCTTGGCAAAAGTAGAACCGCGTGACGTATATGCCGTCTTCTGTGGCCTCAGCAGGGCTTGTGCCCGCCGCGAGTTCAGTAATTGTCGACGCCAGCGAAGGGACGCGCGGGCGATACAAGGTGCGATGGCGACAGATGGCCTGCACGGGGTCCATCGCCGTATGCAGCGTGGAATCAACAGGTCAGGATTATGCGCAACGAACCGTCGAAAAAGTGTGTGCGTCAACACAAATCACCGCCGAAGTGCTACTTGTCGAGTGCGCACGTTTGTAAACATCGCCGTGATCTACAGCATCAAGCAATCAAAGGCTGCGCGGGAAGTGTTCAGCTGTGTATTGCCGCAAAATCGCTGTAGAAATGTAAACATCGAGCGGTACTGCTCCGCCGACAGCGCCGTAGTTTCGAAACACTTAGTATTGTTTTTTAAGTATATTTGATTGAGTAAATTCATATACTAGATAAATTGTATTTATATCATGGCGAATATTGTATTATATTTAGTATGCTCTGGCGCTTCAACTTTTACGCGCAGCCCATGTGTGATGGGGGCAGGGAGCCACTGGCCTTAAGGGGCTGCGCTGCTCCGCCCGACTGACCACCTACAGTCGATCTGTTTGTTCAGACACCACGCCGCCGGTGAACAGAAACTGTTATGTCGCCACCCACCAGCGTGGTCGTTCGGCCGACACCCATCTGTAAAACTGTCCGACACCCACACAGCGCGGCTACCGTCTGCCCGCCACCCGCCAGTAAAACTGTCGGCTGGCGTTGGCCACGAGCGTCCTGGCCGACATTCAGTAATGACGCCTCGACCGCCGGCCGCCAGTGACATTCCAACTGACCAGGCGGCCATCTGCTGCCGATGCCGGCGCGTCCGGCGGCGCTACATCGAACAGGTGGTGCCGTGACCCTGCGCCCGGCTGCTGCGGCGGCCGTCACCGCAGCGCCCGCCGCAGGTGCGCGCGGCTGCGGCGGTGCGTCTCCGGTGGCGGCGTCTCCCGACCGTGGCGTCTCCCCGGCTCTGCGTGCGGCAGCCCGGCGCCGCCCTCGGCGCCGAGGAATGCGACCCATCCGCGTGTGCGACAGCCCAGCTGGCTGGAAATGGTGCGCGCCGGCCGCAAATCATGGCCCGGCCGACGGGCGGACCCGGGCCGCGGGCGGGCGGTAGCTGGGCGGCGGGCCCGCGGACACCTCCCGTTTATTTGAACGCGGGCCGGCTGGACTGGGAGCGGCGCGGCTCGAGCGGGGCCGGCTGCGACGCCCGAGCCCGCGGTCGGTCGGCCACCGCCGCCGCTGCCACCGGTCGCCCAGGTGAGGTGCGGAGCGGCGGCGCGGCCGGGTGACCGATCATCGGCGACCACCCGGTCAGCTGTCGGTCTGCTGCTGCTGTGGGCGGCCGGCCGATCCCTGGCGAGGTGCCCGCGTGTCTCTGCGGCCAGCAGGTGGAGGCGGGGGAGGGGCCGGGGGGAGGGGGTCCGTCGGCGAGCCGGTCTGTTGTGTCGAGCGCCGCTGGCGGTCCGTCAGGGCAGGCCGACGCTCGCGGGGCGGCCTGCTCACGCCCCCTCGTTAGGCCGGGCCGTATCTGGACCGGGCGGGGCGGCAGATACAGCTGGCGGATACAGGAGATACAGCCGGGCCGCCCTCCGACACATGACCGGAACAATAGGCGTCACACATCGTTCTGAAAGCTCGGGCGGTGTGGGCCGCGTGTGGTCAGGGGTCAATCGTGTGCTTCCAAGGGGTTCACGACAGGTCACGACATCGGGGTCACGTCACCTATGTCGGCCGCCACCCAGCGGAGGTCAGTGGCGTGCGCGTGCCCCTCCCCCTCAGAAGTGTGAAGTTATTACGCGACGTGCCCGCTCCAGCAGAGGCTCTGTACCCATGTTCGTCACCTCCACCAGCGCTCGTGATGGCCCTCACGCTTCGCCGCCCTCCCCGTGGCTGGACCCGGCTGACCCGGCTGACCCGGCCGGTTGTCCTCCGCGGCTGGCGACAACACGCCGTTGTAAAGCCCGAGTGGCCGGGAGCGCCCGTGCGCTGAATGCAAACATTCCGCGCCACCGCGCCCTAACGGCACTCTGGCCGCCGTCGACTGAAGCGGCGTGCGCGCCCGATTAGCCGCGCGCGCCGCAGCGGACGTGTAAATCAAGGCGTTTGGCGCACCTAACGTCCCCGTCCGCCGGGCCCGCCGGCGGGCTGGGTCGACTGCCGCTCGAGTAAGTGGATCACCGATTTATGACAGCGGGCTGACGCTGCCAGCGAGACAGATGGGTGCAAACGAGCGCCGATCCACTCCGAGTCGCAAACTGCCATTGCCTGGGTTAGTGGAAATTTAGCACGAAGGCGGGCTGAAATGGTATGGATGGCCCTCGTTAGAATTGGTAATGTGCTTGCTGGGTTTTCCTGCTAAACCCAGCCAGTTATGGTAAGTTCTGCTGCTCACTGGACCGTGGAACGAGTGAAATGTGCTGAATGGTTTCTTTCTAGACGTGGCTGACATCATCTGTTATGCACTGTAAGTTATTACATTGTCAGGAGTATAAGAAAAACCAACTTCATTTTTAGTTGTATATTTTGATGAAGTCGAGGCCAGCGCCTTTGATAGCTGTTGTCGGAACCTTTCATCAACTTAAGTATGGCAAGTGTCACCATACTCTTGGTCAGGATGACATGTTGGGGACCTTGCCCTTGTTCAGGGTCAGCCCAGCCGCGCTTCCGCCCCTTGGCTGCCTCTCTCGGGCCCTACGGTCGATAGCGATCGGGGTATTTTTTGCCGGCCGTTTCCTGTTCCCGGGGGCGGCCACTCGTCAGGTGTTGTGGGCAGCCGAGCGAGGTCAGCTGGCGCCGCCGAGCCGCCGCCGAGCCGCCGCCGGCGCCGGTCCCGGCCTCTCAGAGGTCACGCGCTCCATTGGTATGGGCGCCCCGTCGGCGCGCCGTCCGCAGATGATTTCTCGTCGTAGGCAGATGGTATCGGGGATGCGTGTAGCCCTGGCCTGGCTGGTGTCGACCTCGGTCGGCCACGGCCGCCGGGGACGTCCGGACCGGGCCCGGCCTGCCGCCGGACGTCCTGCTGCCGCCAGTGGTGCCGCGCGCGGCGTCTCGCGCTGGTCATCTCGCGTGAGGTGCCGCTCCCGCCACAGTTGTGGCGTGATCTGAGGGAAGACGTCTGACCGTTTTGTGAGCGCATTGTGAACGGACAAGCGGAAGCGAACACAGTGCAGCCGATCCAAGTACGAGCTCCGATTGTTGACGACCGAGCGATATAATTGGCTTGCCTCCCTGAGCGGGCTAGCCAAAAGATCCGGAGACGACGGATGCGTCGATCTGGACGACAGGCCGAAAGACTGGCTCCTGCTGAAGACTGACGGTGGCTATAGGCTGAGCGAGTCTGGCGTGAGGCACAGCCCTAAGTCAGGCTGAGTTTGCTTCAGCCTGATCCGGTGTCAGGCTGAACCCTCTGCGGGACTGAGCAGGCGTCGGCCGAATCTGACGGTCAGCCTGGCAGGCTGATCTTGCGTCGGACAGAGCCGATACCGGGCAAAACTGTTCGCAGGCGGAGCCTGGCACGTCAGGCTAAGCCTCACGTGCCAGGCTGGGCGTCAGGCGGAGACGACAGCAGGCGGGACGTGTCGCCAGGCTGAGCGGGACGTGCCGGTCGCCGGCGGCCCTGTTTACGCCCGAGCTGCTGTTGATGCCGCCGGCTGTTGTGCCGCGCGTCGGCCGGCACGTGACCACACGTGACCGCGCGTGATCGCACGTGAACGCACGTGCCGTGGCACGTCTGCCGCCATGTCCGACGGCGGTGTGTTCTGCATGCTCTCGTCGTTCTCCGAGCTGCTCCGCTGCTGGGGAAAACCTGCCGACTACGGTGAGCGGCACAGCCTTTACGGCGGCGCTGGCGGGCGCGAAAGACTGGCAACCCCGGGTCCGTACGTACAATGACCGCCCCGGCGGGTCTGTTGGTAAACAGGGCGGCGCCGCGCGCGCTGAGGATCTGCGTGATGAACCACGCGCCGTACGGGCCGCTTTGGAGCGCGTGTAGAACGATGAGGCTCGCCTCTATATGACGCGGCTGTAATTTTACAGCCGCGATGACGCGGCTGTAATTGTGGCGAGGAGCACAACAATGAATAAATTAACGGATTAATGCCTTTAATTATGGTAATGGATACGATGGGAGCCTGAGGGGCAGGGCGGGCCGCATCTCGGGGCCGTTTTGGTTGTGGCCTGATCGGTCCCCGCCACCTTCTGGGAGCTCTGCGTTCTTCTGTACACCAGCACAGCTTGACTGCCTCTGTTGTTATCCGGGCGTGTAGATAGGCACGCGCTGGTGCGCGCCACCCACCCGAGCCCAATGGCCACACGGCCGGGCGGCGAGCTGCCCAAACAAAGCGTGGCACGCGGACATTATCGTGCCGTCGGTGGTGTAACCACATGGAGATAATAAGATCGACTGTTGTTCTCACTGGACGCTGTAGAGTGGATTACAAGATCGGAGTCTCGCAATATTACCCAAGTCGTTGCTGTATTTTAATCGCTTAGTGGCTGCGACGACGGCGTGTCTACATTTCGTGCTGGTGGAAAGTTGTCCCCGGAGTTGTTCGGCGCTCAGATGAGGTAACGATTCCTGTCTGATATAAACGACACCCCTGCCCTCCAATTATTTCCTCTATGTTCGCCAATGCGCTGCACTAATGCACTTTTTGTCCAGGTGTGAAGAATGGTATCGTCTTTATGAGTTGGCAGTCCCGTTTAACGGCTCGGTTCACAACTCGGGAGGTTCATACTGCATGACCTGTAAGTCGTTCCAGTCGGATGCAGAGGGCAGTGCTCCTCGGATTCCTTTGACCCTGTATTGGGTGTTGGCGCGCGGTGGATCGTTAACATTCTTGAGTCGGATCTCATGATCATTATGGTCCTCGGCATTACGGAACTTTTAAAAGGCCGGTCCCCAACAAAAAGCAGGTTTTTAGTTGATTTGTTGGAACTAGGTAAGCAGCGGCGTTTTATCCTGATCCCCATTTCCTCACCGGGCGTGGTGTGCTCCCTACCCCACACTAGTTTGTAACGTTTTGGCTGTGCTGGGGTCGAGTGGCAGACATTAACGCTTTCAAATGCGGCTTCGCCTTAGCACTTGGCGTCACAGCGTTGAACTTAAAGCCAACCAGAGGGCCGAGAAAATAGGGAAAAAGACGTATGTATCATTTTGGTTATTCAACGAAGAAGTCTTTGTGGTTCGACACTTGTTACGGCTGGGAAGTGCTTGGGAAGGAGAAGTGGCAGATTTACATTGGCTTGTTAACGAAATAAGCAATGATATGTAGTGCTTGAAAGAAAAGTGGATACATATTTCACGGAAGATGAAAGGGAACAGACGAGATAAAACACTCGCAGGCGGCAGATGTGTCGAGCGCTCCGCCGCTGTGAAAGCTCGCGAGTGGCGCCCACCGGGTGCATCACGCTCGGTCCCTGAGCCACGTCAGCGCGTATGCGTGCGCCGCTTCCGTCTCCCGCTGTGCGGCAGTCATGGTCCACAGCCGACCCGGGCCCGGAGCGGCCACCGCCGCCGCCGAGTTAACGACTGACTCATGCATTGATTTTCGGTGGGTGCGTCACTTCACCTATCTCCCCCAGCGGAGGAGCGCCGGTGACGCGGGCGCCGCGGGTGGGAGGTCGGGGATGGGAGGCTGGGAGGCGGGGATGGGAGGCTGGGAGGCGGCGGGACGGGAGGCTGGGAAGTCGGGCGATGACTGCCGGGGTGTGGCCGTCGGGCCAGCCGCGCCCGCCGGCGGCGCCCGTGCCAGACAGCGGCACGCGTGGCGACGTGGCCTGGCACTAGCCCAGGCACAGATCTTCAGACGGCGGCGTGGACGTGTGGGGCAGGGCGGGCTGGAAACGGTCGGGTGACGGGAACTACACGCTGCAGCGTCGGATGAGGTTCGAAAGCCTAGTCCAGCAGTGAGGTGGCGTCGTTTTCAATAGCACACTGAAGCGGACCGGTAAGACCGAGTTCAACGTGTGCGGTGAAACGAAACAACACGCGTTACAGGTTTGTCTTGGACTGTTCGTATTTGCGTTCTGTTTTGTGCTCTTGAGTCTGTTCTGCGCTCACGTTCTACTCGGCGATGCTTGATTTATCTGCCAGCCTCCTGTCAGACATTCATCGCTCACTTCTACCCGAGAGAAACGTCAAGTTAATCACCGACGGCTCGCTGCACCGCCACTGCCATTCGTCCGTCTTTAATCATGGCGTCCTCTCGACAGATGCCAAGCCGGTGGCGATCAAGGGCGGCGGGCCGGCGGCGTCGGCGGGCCGCTGCTCGACACGAGGTCAAGGTCACGCAGCTGGAGGACCAGCTGGCCAGCCACCAGCGTGACCTGCAGACGGCCCGCGGCGACCTGCAGCACGCGGCGCGCCTGCTTCGACGCCGCCATGGTTCATGGTCAACTACATCTCCACCGAGGTGGGTGGATCCGCACTTGGGCGGGGGCGAACACGGAGACGCGAGAGGGGCAGGCAGCAGAAGCGAAGCTAAAGTCTGATGGGCTTACAGGCCTATCGACGTCAGTAGTGCGGATAGTGACTTTGTTTTCGTTTTTGCGCGAGCACCGATTCTCAATATCTGTCCTTCATGAGCGAAAACTACCAAAAGCAGCGAAAACTTCTTTCTAGAGATGACTGCTCTTCGCCCCTGGGTGGATTTAATGGCGCTTCGTTTATGGACAGCAATGAGATACAGCGGTCCGGGCGAGCTACCGGGCGGTCCTCGCGTTATCGTGGTGGGAGTCTTCATCGATGCGTGCAACTGCTGGTCTATTAGCGTCGCAACCTCTCACGTTTGTGGCGGTGAAATATCGACCCAGCATGCCGCTAAACGGTGCGGGCGGGCTGTGGCGCTGGGCGGGCTCCGCAGCCGGCTGTAGCGCACAGCGACGGCGACATCTTCCGGAGACCCTCGATCTCGGCCAGAGCGGCGGCAGCCGTGTTTCGCGGCTCCGTCGGCGCCCGCGTGGCCCGTCAGCCGCAGTCGACCGGCGGGTCACGACCTGACCCGGCTGACTGCGCACGGCGGACGGCGCGGCGGGCGGCCGCACGCGGACAAGATGGCCGCCCGACGGCTGACCTCGCCGCCCTCGCGGCAGGGCTGCCACTTTGGGCAGGCGCCCAAACACTCACGACTCCCAAAAAGGAAGTTGTAATTTAATGGGTGATTTGATTCAGTTACGGTAATCGGTCTTGTTTCTGTATAATGCGACGTGCTGGGGCGAAAGCGGAAGCAGAAGTAGTGATTGATTCTGCTGATGAAAAGCTCAGCTTCTGCTGATCTGGTCAGGCGGAACCTGCTTAGCAGATGTGACAGCAGTGCCACCCTGAAGCTGAAGGAGTTGCGTCAGTAAACCACGCTTACGAAGGTGGAAAGATATCATTCAGTCTGTGTCTGAATCCTGGATCGCGAACTCTGTGGAACGCTCAACTGGTACTCAGTACTATCAGCAGATCACTTACCTTGCCATTTTCCGGAAGAACAAGAAGCACCAGACTAACCCGGTTCGCCGTTGGCCTCCTAAGCTGACCCGGGTCGCCCATCGCGCCCGGGACTTATTTCCGGATCCGGTGGTAGGTCAGCATGTCGTTCCATTGCCGGCTTTCGCACGAACGCCCTGTTGCTCACGCCCCCGATCTGGGCCCTGAACCACCGCTGACGGACGACGACGCCCTTGAACTTCTGCCTCCTCGCGCCTGGCGCGCTATAACCTCTGACCTGCGATGCGCTGGTGTCTGGATAAAACCCACCTCTCTCCTCTCTCTCTCTTCTTCCTCTCTCTCTCTCTCTCTCTCTCTCTCTCTCTCTCTCTCTCTCTCTCTCTCTCTCTCTCTCCTATCTCTCTCTCTCTCTGTCTCTGTCTGTCTCTGTCTCTGTCTCTGTCTCTGTCTCTGTCTCTGTCTCCTGTCTCTGTCTCTGTCTCTGTCTCTGTCTCTGTCTCTGTCTCTGTCTCTGTCTCTGTTCTCTGTCTCTGTTCTCTGTCTCTGTCTCTGTCTCTGTCTCTGTCTCTGTCTCTGTCTCTGTCTCTGTCTCTGTCTCTGTCTCTGTCTCTGTCTCTGTCTCTGTCTCTGTCTCTGTCTCTGTCTCTTGTCTGTCTCTGTCTCTGTCTCTGTCTATGTACTCTGTCTCTGTCTCTGTCTCTGTCTCTGTCTGTCTCGTCTCTGTCTCTGTCTCTGTCTCTGGTCTCTGTCTCTGTCTCTGTATCTGTATCTGTCTCTGTCCTCTGTCTCTGTCTCTGTCTCTGTCTCTGTCTATGTCTCTGTCTCTGTCTCTGTCTCTGTCTCTGTCTCTGTCTCTGTCTTCTGTCTCTGTCTCGCTATGTCTCTGTCTCTGTCTCTGTCTCGTCTCTGTCTCTGTCTCTGTCTCTGTCTCTGTCTCTGTACTCTGTCTCTGTCTCTGTCTTGTCTCTGTCTCTGTCTCTGTCTCTTGTCTCTGTCTCTGTCTCTGTCTGATGTCTCTGTCTCTGTCTCTGTCTCTGTCTCTGTCTTCGTATTGTCTCTGTCTCTGTCATGTCTCTGTCTCTGTCCTCTGTCTACTGTATCTGTCTCTGTATCTGTCTCTGTTCTCTGTCTCTGTCTCTTTCTCTGTCTCTGTCTCTTGTCTCTGTTCCTCTGTCTCTGTCTCTGTCTCTGTCTCTGTCTCTGTTCTCTTTGTCTCTGTCTCTTGTCTCTGTCTCTGTCTCTTGTCTCTGTCTCTGTCTCTGTCTCTGTCTCTGTCTCTGTCTCTGTCTCTGTCTCTGTCTCTGTCTCTGTTCCTGTCTCTGTCTCTGGTCTCTGTCTCTGTCTCTGTCTCTGTTCTGTCTCTGTCTGTTCTCTGTCTCTGTCCTCTGTTCTCTCCTCTCTCTCTCTCTATCTCTCTCTGTCCTCTCTCTCCTGTCTCTCTCTCTGTCTCTCTCTGTCTCTCTGTCTCTCTTCTCTACTTGTCTCTTCTGATCTCTCTGTCTCTCTGTCTCTCTGTCTCTCTGTCTCTCTGTCTCTCTGTCTCTCTGTCTCTCTGTCTCTCTGTCTCTCTGTTCTCTGATGTCTCTCTGTCTCTGTCTCTATGTCTCTCTGTCTCTCTGTCTCTCTTGTCTCTCTGTCTCTCTGTCTCTGTCTATGTCTCTGTCTCTGTCTCTGTCCTGTCTGTCTCTGTCTCTGTCTCTGTCTCTGTCTCGGTCTTGTCTCTGTCTCTGTCTCTGTCTCTGTCTCTGTCTCTGTCTGTCTCTGTCTCTGTCTCTGTCTCTGTCTCTGTCTCTGTCTCTGTCTTGTATGTCTCTGTCTTCTGTCTCTGTCTCTGTCTCTGTCTCTGTCTCGGTCTGTCTCTGTCTCTGTCTCTCTTGTTCTGTCTCTGTCTGTCTTCGTCTCTGTCTCTGTCTCTGTCTCTGCTCTGTCTCTGTCTCTCTCTCTCTCTCTCTCTCTCTCTGTCTCTCTCTCTGTCTCTCTCTGTTCTCTGTCTCTCGTCTCTCTGTCTCCTCTGTCTCTCTGTCTCTCTGTCTCTGTCTCTCTGTCTCTCTTGTCTCTCGCTGTCTCTCTGTCTCTCTGTCTCTCTGTGTCTCCTAGGTCTCTATGTCTCTCTGTCTCTCTGTCTCTCTGTCTCTCTGTCTCTCTGTCTCTCTGTCCTCTCTCTCTCTGTCTCTCGTCTCTCCTCTCTCTCTCTCTCTCTCTCTCTCTCTCTCTCTCTCTCTCTCTCTCTCTCTCTCTCTCTCTCTCTCTCTCTCTCTCTCTCTCTCTCTCTCTCTCTCTCTCTCTCTCCCTTGCCTATTGTCCTATCTGGCCTAAACCTTGAGGGGGTCCATCAATAAGCATGCCTCGTATAAGTATACATTTTTATCGATCTGTCTATCCATATACCCATCTTTATCTACATTGCCTGTGCTTACCTCTGTGTGTTCATAACTCTGATATCTCCGTGCCCATCTTGCTCTTCCTCGGTGCCTCTCCCCACTCGATCCGGGCTCGGGTCCGGAGCTGTGATCCGCCGACCGAGTCGACTCGTGCCGTCGATCCTCGTCGTGATAGGTCGGCGTCAGTCCCACAAGAAGCGGACCCGCTCGCCCGACCCGCCTCCCGGAGATACCCAGCCGCGCGGCCGCCGCTCTGATCCGGTCCGGCCCGGTCCAGGGTCAAGTTCTCCGTACAGCCGGCCCCGGCGCGGTCAGCGGAGGCCCGCTGCCGGCTGAAAGGCGGCCGCCGGCCGGGTCTCGAACCCGCCACGGCGGGACGGACTCGAGCCGTTTTATCCCGGCTGATTGGGTCCGACGGTGTCTCGTTAGATGCATTGTTCTCGCACTATCGGCGCCATCCGTCAGCGTTGAGCCGTGGTTGTCAAGGTAACGGCCGGCGGCTGGCCGAGCGCTGGCCGCAGCCGGCCGGGAACGCCACGTCTCGCCGGCTCCCATTGTTCGCACTCGGGTTGTTTCGTCTGCCACTGGGGTTTGAGACAGCGTGACGTACAAAAGCCCTGGCACGCCGTGTGCGATGGCTTGTCTGTGCGCCGGATCGGCTGCCCGGCTCGTATGCGGCAGAATGCGCCAGCCAACACCGGCGCCGCTGCGGTGGTCTGTGGCGTCACGTGACCCGTCCGTTCCCCTGTTCCAGTACAAGCCGTTCCAGCTGGCGGACGAGGTCCAGGCGCTGCAGTCGCGAGCCACCGACATTCAGCTGGCGCTCGGTAAGCTGTCGCACGCCTCTCGCGCCAGGTCGGGCGCCAGACGCGGCCGGCGGCGGCTCGCGGCGTGGGCGAGTGCCGCCGGGCAGCGGCGGCGGCCGGTCGGGCCCAGAACGGCCGGCAGTCACGCGCCGCCGGATCCGGGACTGGCGACCGGTCGCTCCCACACGGGCCCGCTGCCGCCGCCGCGACCCGCCGCCGCCGCCGCCGCCGCCGGCGACGTTTGGCGGAGGAGAGCGGGGTGAAATGGCGGCTCGGGATGAGCAGGCTTCAGCAGTCCACTGAGGCGAGAAAGTCGAAACGTCATCTGTTAAGTCAGGATTCGACCAACGTCAGCTGCTTATCAACGACCAAGGAGAAACCGTGACCTTGGAAGAACAATTTAAAGCGTAGTTGTAAGACGACCCAAACTGAAAAGCATCCAAATCCGTGACACTTCTCACACTCGCGTCAGCGCGCAACGTCGAGTACATCTCGAACGACCGCAGTGATTCCCATGCCCGGGTCTGAGGTCTCAGATAGCGCAGACAGTCCCAAGCCGCGGCGGAACCCGCCTCGTCACCTGTCGGGACAGGCGCCGTTATTCCGTGCTGAAACCGGCAAAGCGCTTCTGAGGAAAAATGCGGCGTGGATCTAGCTTCTTTAAGGACGTTATTAAGATGGTTAAACCCGATATGACTGGCCAAATAGGTCATTTGTCTGGGACAGTTTTACCAACGCCATAATGATGTTTCTGTTCCGTGAGAGCAACGCTTAGGTCAGCCCACCTGTAAGTGAATTTAAAGTGCTTACTAAATGCCAAAACCTTATAGTGCGAAAGCTGGAGGTAAAATGCCAACGTGATCGTCGTTTAAACTTTTGCTCTGCTGACAAAAGGTCACGATGTTTGTGCTTAACATTTGCGGTTCAGAAAGCATTGATATTGCGATGGTGGTCTCAGGCTGATACTTGGTTATGAACATGCGCAATTGGGAATGGGACCGTACAAAGCTCAACGATGCACTGCCGATGGGTGCATTTGTGGGCTCATTTAGAAGACAAACGGACAGCCATGCCGTTCAATTACGGGCTTCATTCACGTTGTGTACGAGACCATGTACTGACGGTGGCGCCACCTTTGCAGACGAGGCTGCCGCCACCCAGCGGCGACTGGAGGGCACGATCGAGGAACGTGAGCGGGCGCGGCTGCAGCGCGAGGAGGAGGTGGGCGCAGAGCGGGCCGAGCTGGCCGCGAGACACGCGGCCGTGCTGGAGAGCTCGCAGCAGCAGCTGGCCGAGGTGCGCGACGCCTGGCACCAGGAGCGCCAGCTGCAGGAGCAGGAGCTGCAGCGGCAGCAGGAGGCGCGCGACTGCGACCTGCGCGAGCTGAGCGGTCAGCACGAGCAGAAACTGGCCTCGGTAACGGCCCAGTGGGAGCACGAGCTGGTGGAGAGCCAGCGGCGCGCCCATCTGGAGGCGGAGGCGCTGCGCCGCCAGGTGGCCGAGCTGCAGCAGCAGGCGGACGAACTGGGTCGCCGCGAGGAGGAGCTCAAGACCGCTATGGGCCTCAGCAGCAACACAAAGATCCAGGTACCACGCTTGCCGGACGGCGCAGGCGCCAAACGGTGAACGAGTTGGATGCATAACGTTGCAGAGGTTTTTTCAGCATGTGATCAGGGAAAAGCTGCTGGGGACAAAGTTATAACCAATTTATTAGAACTGGTGCCGCGCTGGACTTCCGTTTTGTGCCGTACTGTGCCGCACTGTGCCGTACTGTGCCGTACTGTGCCGTACCGGCAGTAGTGACGCAGTCTGTGTACCAGCCGGACCAAACATGCTGCGTTCGATGCGTCAGCCAGACTGCCCCAAGGCGGCATTTCGGCATGCCTGCGCTCATCGGTGCCCGCCACCCGCAGGTCCTCTCCGCTCGCATCAAGGAGAAGGAGAAGGACATCCGTTCGCTGAACGCAGTGATGGAACTGAAGAAGGAGGAGATCCTGCAGCTGCGTCGGGATCAGCTGGAGCTGCAGCGGCTGCGTGAGCATAACGCCAGACTGGAGGAGCGCTGCACCAAATACCGCGCCAAGGCTGAGGATCTGGAGGCGCAACTGAGGCAGCGCGCCATTGTCGAACGGTGAGTGGTGAGAAGGAGGCCTTCGGAGAGTGCCACGGCCACGCGGGTGTCGCAGTCGGGGCTTGTCGGCCCTGAGCGGCGCCGTTGTCTTGATTGAAGCATTTTTAGTGCTTATTTGGTAGGTTCTGTTCTTGAAAATAGTCACCGGGTGTTATTTTGTGGCCATGTGAAATGGCAGTGGTTAAAAGGTGTGTTGTTTTATTCATTGGCGGAAAGCAACTTGGCAGAAACATGCTTTTTTCCCTTGACTGCGGAGTCGATTTTCCCTAGATTTGCCCGGGTACCAGCATTATTTCGGTGGATTCAGTGCACACAAAAATACACTGGCATGTGGCCACGGTATCACAAGAGCTAGTCCTCGTCCGGCAGGCAACTGTGTGAAGAAAACTGCCGACTGCAGGAGTGCCAGGACAAGGAGACCAAGGCCAACAAACGGCTCTCGATGGAGAACGAACAGCTGCAGTACAAGCTGCGCAACCAGTCTGACGTGCAGACGACTCCAGGTGAGGTGGCGGCCGGCCAGGTGAGGTGGCGGCCGGCCAGGTGAGGTGGTGCCGCTCAAGGAGACTGCTGGCGGGTCCGGGCGCATGAGGGCGACGGTGGGGAGACTGCATGCCCTTCTGTTGGAGCCCGGCTCGTCACGCCGTGGCCTGGACATAGCCCCGACCAGCCACGGTGTGGTGTGGCGAGGAAGCACGCCCGTGTCCCCACCCGCCGGACGCGGAGGATCGCCGTGAGCCCGATTTGCCGCACCCGCGCGGGCTACACCGCTCTGTGCGTGTGCGCGGAAGAGAAGGGTCATTGTAGGTCAAGGGTCATTGAGAGTCATTGTAGCCTGCTGACCGCCGTAGCTGGCTGACGTGTTCACTGACGGTCCAGCCAGCTAGTCGGTCAGTCATTGGGACAAAATATAGCATTTATTTGGCAGTTAAGTATCAGACGCAGGTGCGACAAAGCGTTGTGGGAGCAGGACATTGGGCCTCACTCATTGCGTTGATGTGTAACATACTGGCGGTAGATACCTGGTAGTCGCACTCTCCAGACCGTATGGTCGCTCCAGGTGGTTCGCTTCCTAGGCGTCGGTGGAGGTCTGACGAAGCCGATCTTTTTTGGATTGGTTTCGTCCGGTCCTCGTTCAGTCGGCAAGCTGTGAACGCTTGGTGCGCGCCGGCGGCTGTTAGGACCCGAGTTTGTGCGGACGTGGATGTTGTGTCTGGCTATGCTGCCGGGCTGGGAGCTGGAGCGTTCGTCGGGGCATGACGCTAGCGGCACGTAGAGTCGGCCCTGCCGCCGGTGGCTGTCGTGTCGTCTGCCCGCTGCCCGGCGCCTGCTCCCGCTCTAGCGCCGAGTTTGGCCGCTCTTTCAGGCTCGCTGAGTCTGTCGTCCATCATCCGGTCTGCCGCGGCACGCTCCCCCAGCACCTTTGCGCGCGCCTGCAGCGAGTCGCCGCTCACCTCCAGGTAAAGGCGGCGCACCGCGCGACACGCTACGGAACGCGGCCGGCCCAGCACCGTCCGTCGGCGCCGGCACGCGCAGTCGCGCCTGCATGGCCTTGCCGGGTCCAGCAGGGTGGTCAGTGTGCAAATGTGTGCAGTGTGGCCAGTTGGCTTTGGGCGAATCGCGTCTGTCTTGGCGGCCAGGCTGGCCTGGTTTGCGACGTGGTATTTAATGTTGTAAATTAGCAATGTGCCCGTGGGATCAGTGACGCGCTTCTCACTCACCGTTGTCGTTGACAGAGGCTACCGCCGCCATGTTGGTAAAAAGCGCTTGAGTCAGCATGCTATCACCATAGGCCCTCTGCCGCCAAGCGCGGGCCCCACTCTTTCACCAGTGCTGGGAGCTGACGTCCGCCGCTTTCTCCTGCCCTCGCTGAACGGCCCCTCCCGCCGGCAGAGTGAGCCCGCGCTCGCCGCTGCGCTCCGACTCGCTGCGCCGGCGTTCGCGTCGCTCGGACGAGGCGTCGCCGCCGCCGCAGGTGACCGCCGTCGTCGAGAAGTCCGACTCCATCAGCTGGGTGCTGGACATGGAGGGCGGCGGCCGCGACTCGTCGGCAGAGCCGGACGACGCGGCCGACAGTCTGTCGTGCGACTCGTCCTCGGGCCACGGGCCGAGTCGCGGCGGCTCCGAGAGCTCCGACTGGGAGGCGGCCGAGCACGAGGCGCACGGCGTGTTCTACCAGCTGAATGCGCCGCCGGGCGCTGCCTCGGGGCCCGCCTCGCTGCCCGCCGCCCTCAACGGCCACAGCATGCAGGACATTCCGGAGACGACCGAAGGAACCGAGATCTAGCCGCGTGGGCGCCGGCCGATGCCGCCTCCGGCCCGGTACGCGTCGCTGGCGCCGGGCGCACGCGTCGCCGGCTCGCGGGTGATATTTATTGTCGCAGGTGGCGCTGGTGGGAGGTGACGGCGCTTGGTGGCGCTAGTGTGGCGTTACGCGTGACCGGTGCGGGAGGGTCGGCGCGGTTTACGAGGCCAAATATTCGATGTTGATCCGTGATCCCATTCAGCTTGGCGCGCAAGAAGACGTACATTCCAGGCTTCGGCTTCTGTTCGTAGTCGCCCGTGATACGTCTGTACATACTGAGGTGGCCGCCTCACCATGCTAGCGTGCGCTGCCGCCCGCGCCGCTGTCTGTTGTCAAGCATCTCTTGACCCGCTCGCTGGGAGACTGCGCGTTTTGCACGGCTGCTGCGCTGCTGAGATTCTGACGAGTCTCCCCAGCTGTAGTGGATTCAGTACAAGTACCTGCGCGTCTCGCGCGTTGTCGGTTTTGTCGATACCTTGAGTTTGTGTACGTGTTGGCTATAAGAGCGGTGCGCGGACGTTTCTTTTTGCCAGCTCACTCGAGATAACCACCGGCGCGCCCCGTTTTGGTCAAGTCTGAGCGCGTGCTGTTGTGTGATGTGGCCGAGTGGGCCGGCGCCGTCGTGTGGCAACTATGACGCTAGTCTAGTTACGCTGTTGTGGGTCGCGTTCGCTTCGCTGCGGATGCTGGACGGAGACGCGTGCTGCCAGCTCTCCATGGTACAGCTGGTGTGTTAGAGCCTGATGCGGCGGTCCGGTGTGTTCGGAGCACAAGCGTGTAGCCTGCCGAGCCGGCAGATTTCACCAGCCGTTTGTGTATTTGTAATGAAATAAATATATGGTCGGAAAATGCGCGCCATTTCTGCGCAGTGTGCAACGTTCTGTGGGATGTCAGATGCTTACATGTAGTCTAGAAGTCCTTAAATGCACCTGGTGAAATGATGAAGGCAAACATGACCATCGTTGATTTGATTCATTTTTATTTTTTTTATTTTTAATTCCATTCATTTGATTCATCTGATTCATTTGAAACATGATCATACTTGATTCGCCGACATTAATTTCCTTGCTTCGGAAAAAAATGGATCGAACGGGGGAGCTTGCCGGGCTGTGTTGTTCCTTGTTGGCGAAACAAAAACAATTTCTAATATGCTCACCAAGACAAGCGACGAAGCGTGTTTCAGCAAGAGACCTCCGAAAAGAAGGATGGTCTTTTGCTCGACTCACTGACACTGACACACACTGACACTGGTCACTGACATTTCATACGCGAACGAATAAGCAAAGCCAGAACTGAACGGAAATAGAAAGATAAGAATAATAAGCGTCAAATTCCGAGCTGCACGCCACATGTGTAACATTGGCACTGCTACAGCCTGGTTCGTGCCAGCCCATCTAGGAATATTGATCTTAATCTACGGTGCAGTGTTGGTTCGTTTTGTACGGACCCTGGCCCCCAGTGTTGGTGTCGGCGCCTAACATTTCGTGGAAACATTGCAATGGATTGAGGAAATAACCTAAATGCAACACATAGCTTACTTCTGGACATCATTTCACTTCCATGGCTAGTATGTTACTGAAGTGAACGACCATTTGATAAATAATGTACAAGAAGTATGCGTTCACGTGGCACCACCGGGAATACGTGATGCCCTTATTAAATTGATGACCTATTACCACGAGTCCGAACCATCCTAATTCAAAAATTCGAGGTGGACGCGTGAAACTAAATGGATCAAGGCAAAACAATTGTCACCGGTCGCTGGCGCGATCGCAGGTATCTGGTTCTCAGATGCAGAGCCTTATCATTGCCCTTCTGGTGCCCTTACGGTGCAGGTACAGTTACAGTTTCATGGGACCTCAGCCCGATAGCAATCCAATCTCCTTAGCGAGTTATATTTTTAGCGAGATCAGCGAGTTGTTACGTGTCACGCAAAACTGATTCGCGCGCGACAAATCGCGCCAAGGCGCGAGGACGTTGTTAAAGGTCTCTTTCTCCGCCTGGACCCTGTTGTTAAGGTGCGCCCGCTGGACACCTCGCCCACCCGTCCAGCCGCCTGGATCTGGAGGCCTCTCAGGACGGCAGCGACACCACGCCCCTCCATCCCAGCCAGCGAGAGGTTCCGCACCTCTCACACGGTTTCGCCCCGGAGGCCCGCTGGCAGTGCCGCCAATCGCATCACTGGCTCCTCAGTACCGATAAGTGACGCCATCGCGTAGTCCTCCCACCTTTCTTTCCAGAGGAGGAAGGCGCCAGGCCGACAGTGAAAATGTTCAGCCGGAGGGAGGAGAGGCTCGCAGGTGCAAAGCTCGGGACTCGCCGTCGGGCGCCGGTGGTCCTGTCGGCTGCACCATGTTTCAGTGATGGTGTCCAGCCGGAGGGAGGAGTGGCTCGCAGGCGCAAGGCTCGGGACTCGCCGTCGGGCGTCGGTGGTCCTGTCGGCTGCACCATGTTTCAATGATGGTGTCCAGCCGGAGGGAGGAGTGGCTCGCAGGTGCAAAGCTCGGGACTCGCCGTCGGGCGCCGGTGGTCCTGTCGGCTGCACCATGTTTCAGTGATGGTGTTCAGCCGGAGGGAGGAGTGACTCGCAGGCGCAAGGCTCGGGACTCGCCGTCGGGCGCTGGTGGTCCTGTCGGCTGCACAGTGTTTTGGTCTCGGCCGGGGCAATCAACTTCCCCGAACGAATTATATTGATTCAAGATAAGTTTTCTCAAGTTGTCAATTAATATATGGACTTAGCTCGTTCCAAGGTCAAACAAACTAGAGCGAAAGCGTCGGTCCGACGGGTGTGCGATCACACGAGGCTCGCTGACGAGCACATGGTAGAAGTCTGAACACTGCCACCAGGGCTGCGCGGCGGGCTCCGTGCCAGGCGAGATCAAGCCAGGTCATGTGACCGCCTCCGGCGATACAGGATGGCCGACTCCAGCAAATAAGTGGGGTGTGGTCAGTTGGAAGCTTCACATGTTCTATGATTTCAGGTATGCTAGCAATTTGTCACCGTGCAAGCCGACGTATGTTCAGAAGCTGGTCGCACTAAAATGCTCCCCAGGCGCACTATAACCGCAACGGATGGTGTGTCACGAACAAGAGCAGCAGCACCATATTATCTCTGCATTTGTTACGCAAACAGCACTCGTACCTTGTGACCGAGACTGAACACTTGAGTGGGCTTCTCCACAGCTATCGGAGCAAGCCGCGGGGTCTTTCATGACCGAGCAGTGCCACATGTTTGATGATGATGATAATTGGAGCTTAGGGGCGCGCCCTGGTCTCAGATAATTTTGCGCCCATCCCATGTTCGAGGCAGCGACCATCATAAATCCGGGTCTGCGCACTGGAGAGGGTGCCCGTCAGCGTTGAGGGCCTAGGCCACAGACGGGCCGTCAGCGAAAAGCAGCCCTGCCCCGGGGCGGCCGCCCGCTGGAGCTGGAGGAGGGGCTCTCCCCAGAAGGGCTGCCGGCTGGGGCTGGAGAAGGGGCTCTCTCCCAGAGGGGTCGCTCGTCGGGGTTAAGTGCCTGCTGCAAGGGCGGTAAAACGTGCCGACTTGGTGGATGAGGTCGGCGACAAAAGTGTATATTTTCACTCGATGCTCGTAAAGATGTCCTTAACCGAAAATGTTAGTGACGCACACGCCAAAACGTTACAGCCCCGACTGGCCAGTCTACCACGAGGCCTCCATCCTATGCATTTTTTCGCACATCAACAACCTTCTTCCGTAAAGTCCCTTTACCGTGCTTTCCGGCACCATGGTATCGTTTGAAGGCTTTACCCCAATCTGGTGATAAAGATATACGATGAATTTTGGTTGGTAGCTTGACTCGGTGGCAGATCGGTGACAAGTCAGTGTCTTTCCCATGCCCCGGCCGGGCGGTCGATTAGCTCTTTTTATCAGCCCACTCTCAGAGTCCAAAATTAGACAGCACAGAATGCTGAAAAGATCTAGATATGGCGATTCATCTGGTTGCGAGGATATGCTTTACTTGTTGCGATACTCATTGCATTCAATACAGTTTGATTCATTTGCCCGCAAGAGCATGTTTCAATCGCTGCGATGCGACTGGTTGGCGGTGGCTTTCAACGCGCTACGAATTTTCAAACGGCATTCGCATTGCAATTTCATAAATACCCACCAAGGTTTAATTTTGGACCTGGTTGACTTCAGTGACGATGCCGCGATTCAGCATCCTGTCCTCAGCAATGCAAGGCGTTGACAGTCTAAGGTAAGCCAGCGAGATGATCCGATCGAGGTAGAAATTGACGCCCGCGTTTCCAGACTGCATCTTCAGGACACAGACCAGACTGTTTACACGCGCCCGGGTGGCCGGCTAGATACCTTTCGCTCGGGTGGGGTGGGGGGGGGGTTAACTTGACCCCCCTGAGATCTCGGATACTAAGAGAGCTATATACACCAAATTTACAGGATGTGCTGACCTGTACGTGAACTCACTTAGGTCAAAGTTTTAGATTTCTAGGTCATGACCTTCGTGCCAAATAAGGTCAAACAAGATCAAATTCCAGGTTCGTCTCCAAAGTGCCCCCAGAACCTAAATAACCGTTTCTAAGCAAAAGGCTAAACGCTCATTTAAGGTCAGAGCCCTTTTCTGACCTTTTGAAGGTCAGGGTGACCAAAATAATACAATATTGCTTTGAGTTTTGCATTTGACTAAGCGACAAAGATTACGTTAGGCAGGATGTTCCTAAAACAAAATGTTGACCTGGGTCATTTTTGGTCAGTGACCTACTCTGACCTCTAAAAAGTCCATGGATGATGTATAATGCGGCTCCTGCTATCAACAAATTCGAAATGAGCACTAAAATATATCCTATACAGCAAGCCCTAGAATAACAAAACAGGCTGGTTTTGACCTTGATGTGACCTTTATACCTAGCCTTAGGTCAGTTGAATATGATCATTCAATTGCCGTGTCGCCTAAGAAAGCATCTCAGAGATGTATGACTTCGTCTAACACTCCGTTGTTGTATCAGATTGAATGATTCCCTAGAAATTGCCTTCACTGAAACCATGGCCTGACTTTGACCTGCCATAGGTCAGTAACCTTACGATGCACATGTAAATGTTTGACGCCAAACGATCCGCTATTCAATTGTCTATAGCTATGAAAAATTTGGCGCGGCTGTGCTGCGCCGTTCGGAAACCATTCTAGAAAAACCTTCGGGTGGGTCAATTTGACTCTCCACCCGGGCGCGTGTTAAGACGCACGCTATTGTATGAATGGTTTTGAAGCCCATTCTGAGCGTAACCAACCATAAAGGTGGTGCGTGTATGAGGCATTGCCACCGGTATCTGACGCACAACCCGAGGAAAAACGTCGCACATGTGTGCAATGCGTTTCCTGGGTGAAAACATGACAAGACGCAGATTGTATGTGGCTTTTCCGGGCTTGCCGATATTTCATGGGACGTCGCTTCTCATACGTTCCAGGATGTGCGGTACGTAGAACGATTACGGCTTCAGTACCTCACGAAAGTCACTATTAAAGCACCTGCTCCGTCTACGAACCACTCACACAGCGCACAAAATGACGATCTAGAGCGAGGCGACACAGCTCTCTAGAAGCCTTGGGGCGACGCAGCTTTTGCGCGGCAAAGTTGGCCCTCATACGTGGGTAGGCTTACGATAACGTGTGTAACACATCGATTATCTGTGGATAATGCCAACATGATTCATCGTTGCCCGGGGCCCCCCAAAGTTGAACCGGCAACCTCATCGTGACGCCAACGCGGGGCTTCTTGGCAAGCCACAGCATTGTAAGTCTATATGAAAGCATGTTTTTCATAGGCAGTTGTTGGGCAGATCGAGAAGACACAGACGGCAATAACGTTTT